CACACGTAATCTTGTTATTAATCTTCCTTGAGCTAGTTATGCACACATCTACCTTTATCAAAGCCAGCTGAACACAGGACATCACCCCCCCGCCTCCCAAAATTGCCTACCAGGCTAAGAGTGAGCCAAAAAAAAAAAAAAAAAGAAAAAAAAAAAAAAGGAAAGGAAAAAAAGCACATTTTGTCACTTCATTGTGTAGCTTAATACAATGGTCCATATAACTTGCCAATCACACAGGCATTGTCTATGGGGTTTTAGTTCTTTGAATGTTTTAACATTTCAAGAACACATTAACAAAGAACATTTTAAAGCACGAGGCTTGAAGGTTTTTTAATTATTTTAGTAGTATTGCATCAATTAGAGCACATTTTGAAATAGTAATTTATTTTTTCAATCCTGAGTACTTTCAACTTGGAAAAAATCTCTCACAAAACTCTTTTCAAATCAAATTAACATTGTCTTTATTTCTTATTTGGTTGGACACAGTATATGATAAAATAAATCACTAACGCTGTATGACATGACCTTATTTTTTCAAAGATCATGTCCTATTCCTGAGCAAGAGATTCAGGTTGCAAAAGGCAGAAATAAATCCAGTGCTGAGTTTTAAGCACAACTCTCCGAGGATTTCTCACTGTAACAGCACAATGCTGCCAGAGGCATGTATGGACATGCCCTAAGGTTTCTCTTTCTGGCTATTCTCTCAAGAAGGCAAGGCAGCAAAATGAATAGTAGTTCTGCTATACTGTGTTTACTATACATAAAAACATTCTTTTGCAGAGCATAAATTGAGGATTATAGTTTTAAACAACTGCTCCAGGGCTAGACTGACTACTTTGCATCTGACAAAAAGAAGAAAAGCACCTAGGGCTCTGTGCTGTTCAGTTTGTACACTTTCTGCACATTGGATCCTGAGGCTCATATTAAGCTTCTCAAACTTGTTGTTTTGACCAGGTAACCTGCTATCACAACTGCCTTAATGGCTTTCAACAAACTGGGTCACAGGTTTTAAAGGGAAAACATCATTTGGGAGAAAGATACTAAGGGAGCTAAACATTCACTGCAGACAGAATAAAATCATTGCTATGTGCAATGTGGAACCTCACAGTGTACACATGAAAAAGATTCAGCAGAAATTACTTGTGTGCAAACGTAATCTTTCATTAAATGAGCTAGTAGAAAACTGGCCAGAATATAGCTAAGTGTAGAAAGACTACTCCTCAATGATCGTCTTTTTATTTTTAAGTCACTAAACCTGTTGCTGCTACAGCTTTATGAGGATGTAATTTTTATCTTATTTTTCTGATAGTCCTAGAAAAAGATAAACTGTACATATAATTGGAAGAGCTGTTCTATTGTGCGTTAGAGAAAAGTTACACAGCAGTCAGAACTTGACTCTCAAGAAAGCCAGACTATACACACTCCTGCTCTACATAAACACAGGAAAAAAGCAAGTATTTCAGAACAAGGAATGGCTTCATCTACAAGTAGAGTTCTATGTATTTTTACACATGCTAACTGAATTAAGTTTGAACAAATGGCAATCAAATACCCACCTGGAACAGCTTTTCATAATGAAGATCTATCTCAGCATTTCTCAAATAATTATTTAGTTTGGGAAAGAATGAATTTCATAAGATACTTATTTTAACAACAAAAAAACTTATCTGAGAAAAGTGAACTTTTTGTATGTGTCTGACATGAAGAGTTTAATATATTTGCCAGGCATTCAAGCCTTATGCTACAAGTGAGCTTTGCCAGTGGGTATCTGAGACACCCACAGGTTCCTCAGTAGGAGGCTCTGCAAGCACTACAGTGACACTAGGTGAAAGGGAACAGGATCAAATCTCCCTGGACAGGGTAAGTATACAACCAGAGGGTAATTATTGAGATTTGCTGTTGTACGGTTTCATCTTAACAATGAGAAGGGCAACTAGATGGTAACCTATACATATCTAGGCATTAAAGAATATAGGAGCTTAACGACTCTTGCTCTGCTAGCAGCAGAGGCAGAACATCTCCCACTTTTGCATCCCTTTTGCATAGAAGAATTTAAAAACTTTGCCTGCTCTGCTGCTGAATTAAGGGCCTCCCTAGGTAGAAGATAAGACTCCACACCTGGAAGTGGAAGGAAAAGGAAATCCTTGCTTCCCCACTCATAAAAGAGCTGGCTTTTCACCTGGAAATGCAGAATCAGAGACATTTAAAACGTCTTTTGGGATGTAGTAACTTGCACTAGATAGGCAAGTATATATTGAGGTAAAATTTCCAGGAATAGCTACTATTCTAACAGCTACTGGTCTCCTGACCAAGCACAAATAGTGATAAGGTTAATAAGTTTAGTGTAGTTACTCCAGCAAAACATCATTTTCTGGTTTAGTGAGTGAAGCACAAGCTTGGAAGAATGAAGATTTTCTGATTAATTTTTTTCTTTTCTATGTGATATCCTATCACATAAGGATGAAGTACTATCAAATCTCACTAGACACAGTCCTGTACCAGCCACTCCAGTTCATAAGCTTCCTTTTTACATCTGTTAAAACTACTACTATCGAGCTCCAACTTATCCTTTAAGGTTATCTCTTTTCTACTTTACAAAGGTTCTTGGAGAAAAAACTTTTAATCAATCAACTAAGAATCCTGGAAGCCAGTAAGTGAAGTCATTCGCTCCATGATCCCACATCACCAAGAGTTTCACAAAGCCATCACAAAATCTCCATTTTACACTTACTGAAAATAATCTACAAAATAGCAAACAATCCCCTGCCAAACCAACCCTTCCGCCATGTAAATCAGACAAACCAGAACTAGAGTAAAACTAATACAGACCTCCACTTGTAGTAACTGTATTTTCAACTAGTGTTGATTACTGTTAGATTTAATATAAAAATTAGAAGCCCTTCCCTGGACTGCGACAATTGTGAAATTGGCAGCTGAGGTGGAAATTAAAAGCACAGAACAAGAAATCTGCAATGAATTTTTTTTAGCCACTACAAATAGGAAGTAGTTAGCGGAAGGAAAACCACTGTCAAATGGAAAATAAGGAAAGACAATATTTTTAATAAACTGTCATTTGTCCTTTTCTCCCCCTTTTACTGAGGTATGTATGCAGAATGTGCTTGGAAGCAGCAAAAGAGTGAAGATTCAAAAATCACTCATCAAACAATTGTGCTACTTTCAATAATTTATTAAAGGACCTAAAACAAAGATCAAAAGGGGATATATCTAAGCATTTATATTCAATCCCACATTGCCTGATGACTAATTTGTAAAGAGTGTGCAACGCTTCACAACTGAAGCCAAAAGCATCTGAGGATACTTTGATAGAATGCCACAAAGGACATGAGCAGGAAGGCAGCAGGAGTTACAAATGGCCAAGCTCCATTAAAAGTTCTAATAAAAGAATAATGGAATTTCCTTGTACTATGAGTAAAAAGTGTTTGGCACAAGAGAATTTAGACACGAGAGGAATATCAAAGCTTCTGATTCATCAGTTGCGTCTCCTTATTAGATCTTAATTGACTTACTATTACATTTACCTTAAAATGCTTCGACTCAAAAAAGCAAAGATCCCGTTCAAAATCTTGTCACACTACTTTCCTTTATTCTTCATGTTTCCCAATTTTCACAGGCCCTTAATATCTGCTTTACCAATGCTTGTAAATAATGCAAGTCTAGCTATAAAAAAATACTTCAAAGTGATGGATTTAACTTGAAATGATATATAATTATTAAAATTATAGAACATACCTACTGTTTGATGATGTTTTTTTGAACTGTGAATTTTTAAGTTGCTGGTAACTACAGAACTATCATAGCAACAACCTACCTGATGAATTTAATCCATGCAATGTATTTCTTTCTCATAGACATATGCATACGTACACACATGCATGCATGTGTTCATACATACAGATAGGTGCACACACACACACACTTCTGCCACCTTCTTCCGCAAAATATAGAACCTAGCTAAGTTTTCCAATGTATAGCTATTTGGTACACGGACAGGAAAAGAAGGGGTGGAGTTCAGAACCTTCCTTTGAAATATCTAAACAAAAAAATGTTTCAAATCTTTCTTTTTCGGCATGGCTACTTGCAAAATCACACACACTTTGCAAAACAGATGCAGCAAAGACAGTGATCTCATACCGCTGACAAATTGTTAAAGGATTTTGTGCACTTGCGTAAAAAAAACCATGCCCACAAGGAACTCCCTGCAAATTTTTACAAACCTACTTCACTTTCCTTCAGTCTGCTGCTTAATGCTCTCTTTTGCATAACGTCTACAACCCCACTGACGAACAGCTATAGCACAGAAATGCTGTGCTCTCTGTCTCCTGGCTCTTGCAAATCTTCTTGTAACAGCTTTAATGTTTTATTTCACACTGCCATGTCTTTAGGGAAGTGATCTTCTTTTCTTACCCTACAGTATGGGATATAATAAACAAGTTGGGTTTTTTTTTTTTTTTACTAGAATTCCCAGACTTTACAAATAAGGATCAAGTTATAATGATGATGTGTATTTCTTCTTCTTCCCCAAGACAACCACCAGTCTTGTTAGCAAAGCAGCCTCTTCCAGTCATCCTTCCAGAATCAATAGCTAATTCATTAGTATCATGTATCTCGGGGCCTAATTGACACAAGAGGCTAAACAACGTACTCAAGGCTAACACAGTTTCTAAACAGACAGATAAAAAAGGAGGGGAATCCGATACCACCTATGGTCACTTTTCAGGATTTAGTGACAGTCTATAAATTATACTTCTGTGAGGTTAATGTGAGTCACTGGTTTCACAAATCAGAAAATGCAGCTTTTCAAGTTTGACTTGAAGAAACAAAGAAACATTCATATGATAGCATAATTTAAGTAACATGAATACCCTAGCGCTTTCAGTTTTATCATTTCCTCTGCTTTTTGCATTAAACATGAAATACAGTTATCCTGAATGTTTGGAATTATTCTTAACAACAAACGTAGGCATTATATTTTTTCTTACCTTATGATCATACGGATTGTATGAATGAAACAGCTGGGACAGATCCTTTGTTCTCTGTTTTTTCTGAAAGGTAATATTAATAAATAAACCGTATTAGTAAAGTTACAGCGAAAAGAAAGAGACTACTGATTTAAAAAGCTGTATGCAGGTACAAACACATTCTCTCCGCACTTTGTTAATGGAACTGTAGGTATAAAGAGCAGTTTATGCAGATTAAGGATATTAAATATCACAGGAAATAATTAACATATATATTAATGTTAAGAACATATCCTTAATATATAATAAACAGTAATCTATGGAACATCAGTGGAATGTGTAAACAATTCAGATTTGTTTTAATTTCTGCACAATAAATAAATGATGTTTTAGAATACAGATAACAAAGCTTGAAGATTAGGCTCCAATCTTGCAAAGACTTGTCTACTATTCTAGCACGTACATGCAGTTGTGCTGTATAGCAGATTAGGTTTAAAGGAAGTCAGTTTAAAGAAGAATCATTTATTATTTTTCAATTTCCTTTGATGCTAATACTTTCATTGCCTTGATTGTGGAAAATTAATAGGTGGCATGCCATTTAATGCCAAAGCAAAGGGAAAAAACCCTCCTTCTAGTAAGAGCAAAGTTCAAAGACAAAACCTGCTTAATCCAGCTTCTACCGAAATCAATGAAAGAGCTTTCAGTGATTTCAGCAGACATTAAATAGAACCTCTCAGCTGCATGCTATGGAGGGGGGCAGGGAGAGGTGAAAAACACCCTTCATGCTTCATGCAGGGATGAGTCACAAATAAATTCAAAGTTTTATTACATCAAAATTGACACAAAATTGACTATGAGATAGTCAATCATAGCTCAGGAAGACAGAGTATTGCGTGTTGAAAACTCTGTAAAGGGGAAGCAACTACAACAACTCCTTGCTTGGTAGTCTTGTACTGTTGTCTCATTTGAGCGATCATTTCTGTGAAAGTAGTATTCCAGCTGCACGAGTAGGAACTGTTCATGCTTCCAGCATGCTGGGAACACAACAGACAGCTGCATGACTGTGGTATTTATTTTAACTTCCGGAAACTATAGGACAACTCAGTAATATTTAATTATGCAAAAGGAACTATGCATTTCCTTTCTTTACACAGTTTTTATTTTCAATGAAATGTTCAGATGCAGCAACTTAAGTCAAAAAAGCTATAACTTTAGTTACTTGTACGAATTTATGACAGCTGGATATTTATAAGTCAAAGGTATCAGATTAATATTACTACTTCTGTGAAGTCCCTGCCTATGTTTTAGTTACGACCACTGAAGAGTCAAGAAAACCATTTTTTACTCACTGTCCCTCTTCAAATAAGAACAGTAAATTTTGTTTCCAGTATGAGAAGGTTACTTCTGTCATATTCTGTTCAATTATTGTAAGTAATACCTAACAGGACTTGTTTCGCTGAGTTTACTAAGAGGCTTTAAAACTATCAGCAGTGATATTTAAAAAGACATTTCTGTTAGCATAGACTTTCTCAGCAAATGAACATGCCTTTGCCAAAGGCAAGACCTCCCTTAGTAGAGGAACCTTTGCCCTCTAACTGTCATTAATAACTCTTTTATTTCCAATAAGAAAATACCCACCCAAATGAAAGCATCAGGCAGCACAACCCAAACTCCATCACCACCCTAACAATGACTTCTTTCCTGGTAGTACAGTTATACACAGTGAAAGTGCTTAAAATACTATAAAAATTATTTGGAGAAATGTGACAACAAATTGAAAAGAGGTATCAAAATGATTATATAAAAAGGTTGCTTAAAAAACTAATTTAATGAAGAATCATGCAAGAAATAGACAAAAGCATTTTCACCTGGAATCTGGACACCTCCACTAAACTTTTTAGCAAAAAAACCCCACAAAATCCAGACAAGTCTAATTCTTGCTTTTTCTTACTGAACACTTTCACTTGAGTCCATTTTGACTGCACACAAAGTGCTTTTGAGGTTTTCTTTTGCAATAGCTTTAATAACACTCAATAAAGTTATACGATAGAAACCCTTCTATCCTTCCCCCTCAGACTCTGGCCAAAATGCTATTTCAACAGTCAGCTAGACAAGCTGAAGAATGAAGATGGCTTCCCTTGCACAACACATTGACATAGTCTTCTACTTTTTATTATAGGAAATTATGATTTCTTTGATACCTTTCAACAAAAGGTAGAAGTTTTGCTTTCTGTACAAAACCCAAATGCTCCTTCTGGGGAAATGCTGGAAATCCACGACATAGAGGAACACGGGATGGAACTTCAGAAGATGCACATGAAAAAATGCTGCCCCCAGGATGCCCTACATGCTTAGCTGATCTAAATCTAAACATCATTTGACTACTTCGTAGGAACTCTGAATACACAGAGATAGAAATGTCTTAAGCACAGTTAAGGTTGCTTAGTGATAATTTGTCTTTCTAGAACACCAAGTTCAGCTTAACTCAGATCTCTGAAAACCAGAAATATAAAACATTTCAAAACACAGAGACTAAGCAAAGGACAAGGAATTCATACTGCTGTAACAGTAACCCCTTCAACTCCGACAGCAGGCATTCGCCACATGGTATTAATAGTCAGTTTTTTACACGAAGAAAAGGCACATTTCCCAGGTCACCTGTAAGCAGTGTAAAACAGGGTAAAGCAGGCTGCTCCATGTCTAGACATGACAGAGGAAAACAAGGAGCCCAAAAGCTCCTTCTCCTTGATTGCCTCCAGTGGACTATTTCAGTCTCTAAACTGCCTCCTTACATGCATTTCCCCAGAATTTCTTTCCTTGACACAGCTTCATACTCTTACTTGTCCTTCCTCAGCTCAGTCCAACAGGCCTTTGAAGTACTCTCCTGACCAATATAAAAATGTCTTCCCACTATCTTCCTCCTCTTTCTTTTCAGTGTTCTGATTTTCCATTCCTTTCTTCTGTACCGTTACTGTTATCAAAATCACATAGTAAAAAGACACTCAAAAAACCCTTCTGAACTTAGGCAAATGTACTGTCCCACTGTACTGTTCCACATACAGCAGCAGTATCGCTTTCAAACATCCTCACAGATTTGCATAGGATGTATTAAAATTTATTATCTTTCTGCAAAAATTCAAGAATCTTTCCAAAGCCGCCATACAAATTAGCACACGGTATTTTCAAAAATGAAATGACCTCTTAGGGGTCTGATAGCAGCATCAGACTCATAGCTTATCTCCATATTTGTCTCAGGCTTGCCATATATTGACACAGCCTATGTTCAGTGACCACAGAACATTTCCTTAAACCAGGGCAAGTGTGTTACTTGCAATATTCTTACCCAGTCTGGCTGTATACAATTTTGGTGCAAGAGCATTTCATAGAATCACAGAATTGGCTTGGGTTGGAAGTGACCTTAAAGATCATCTAGTTCCAACCCCCCCGCCATGGGCAGGGACACCTTCCACTAGACCAGGTTGCTCAAAGCCCCATCCAACCTGGCCTTCTCTGGGCAACCTGTTCCAGTCCCTCACCACCCTCATAGTAAAGAATTTCTTCCTTATATCCGGCCTAAAACTAAATCTACCCTTTTTCAGTTTGAAGCCATTACCCCTAAATCAATTACGCATTGTCCTAGCACTACAGGCCTTTATAAAAAGTCCCTCTCCAGCTCTCTTGTAGGGCTCCTTCAGGTACTGGAAGGCTGCTATAAGGTCTCCCCAGAGCCTTCTCTTCTCCAGGCTGAACAGCCACAACTCTCAGCCTTTCCTCATAGGAGAGGTGCTCCAGCCCTCTGACCATGTTTGTAGTCCTCCTCTGGACCCAGTCCAACAGCTCCATGTCTTTCCTGTGCTGAGGGCTCCAGAGCTGGACGCAGGACTCCAGGTGGGGTCTCACCAGAGCAGAGTAGAGGGGTAGAATGACCGCCCTCGACCTGCTGGCCACGCTGCGCTTGATGCAGCCCAGGATGCGGTTGGCCTTCCGGGCTGCTAGCACACACTGCTAGGTCACGTTGAGCTTCTTGTCAACCAACACCCCCAAATTCCTCTCCTCAAGGCTGCTCTCAATCCATTCTCTGCCCAGCCTGTATCTGTGCTTTGGATTGCTTTACAGGGGCAGAGATTTTGTTGGGTTATGAAATTCTGACAACTCAATCATGTACTGATTTAAATTTTACACCCACAGTTCTTAGTTTGTAGCGCTTAAAGAAACACGCTTAGGGAGATTAGATAGATAAAGCGATACACTCAGATACTATGCTGATGTGGGCCACTAAAAATATATGCGTATAACTGTGCAAACATTGTTTCACTTTTCTGCTTCAGTAAGTTTTAGAAATGCCGCATTATATGGGAGATACAATGGAGACACTTCTTATTTCTGTCTGTAGCTGGAAAAGTATGTGAAAGCCTGATGAAGAATGGATTAATGTGCTGCTGCAGGACTGAGTTAACTGCTGTAAAATCATATAGGTATGTACACGTAACTATGCCAGGATGGAAGGGTTTCCTTAAGTAAAGCAATACTTCAAGTGAATTATTTCAATCTTCTACTAAAATACATGTAAGTAATTAAGTGCTTCTCGAAAGACAGGTAGTGTTCAGTATGGAGTTATGAAAATAAGAACCAGAAACCAACATCAACTAATGATGTTTCTTATGACAACATACATAGACAATGTTAGTGGCGAGGAAACAACATATTACCATAATTTCATTACTTCCCCCCTGTAAGCATACAGGCAAGTAACACATACTTTGCTCTAAATACTGCCTTTCTCTCTCACATTTTTTGAGCCTCAGATTTTTGAGGCCATATTTTCAACTGAGATTTTTTTAAATGGACCCTGGTCATCCGAGACACATATTATATGCTTAAAGTATAGTAACAATAAAGGGTCCTTTTAGAACACATCCAGAATTATAAACCAATAAAGCCAAGAGATAGTGACCTTCTTGGTGTTTTTACTCTTTTTTCTTGTGCATTGATTTTTAGCAATAATGAAACATGTGCTAATGCTTTAAGCGGACTACGCTGTGGAGTATTACCCTACTTTTGATCATGAAAGATCACTTAAAGAA